TACTCATCTCAACCCACGTTGCGTAGAATCATTGAACGCAACGGACAAATCAAAACTACATGTTTCTCGTCCTAAAACCAGGGAGCCTAAGAGAGCGAAAATGGTCACTCCAGTCTGTTTTATCACTTCCTGACCCCCAAGTTGGCCAGGTTTTTAGGTCGCTTAAATAGGCCTAATTCAATTTATGTAACAGTCGTCCAGCGCCTATTTCACTAAAATGCCGATTGGTCTGATGGGTCACTAACGTGAAAATGGTTTTTAAAAATGAAACTACAAACAAATTACAAATGTGAAAAAAAAACGACATAAAAAATGTACCTGAGAATACGAGGTTGACCATCGCCATTGCCTGCCGCTGTTCAGGCACGTAAATATACTAGAATGGGTCAAATCATGACTTGGCTTTCTAAACCTCATCCGCTTGGTGTACATACTCTATTTAGGAGATGTATCCGTTTCCACGATTTTTTTCGTTTATTATTATTGTTGTTGTTGGTTGTTGTTGACAAAAATGAAATAGAGGAGATGGGGAATTAGTGGCGTAGCAAGCTCAGGTGGTACCTTGTCCTAAACATTTCTTGTCACCTCTCCCTCAAATCAACACACACACACACACACACACACACATTGTATCACCCCTCTCAGTGAAGACACCCGGGGGTGACCCTTAACACCCCCCCCCCCCCCCCCCCCGTTTTCCCTACACCATTTGGGGAAAATTACTGAATTTAACTTCCGTTTTTCCTTCTTTCCATCCGTTTTGTTTAAAGACAGTTTGCAAATAGGGATCATTTGTTTTTACACGTGACAGTAAAAATAGTAGACATCGAATTTATAAAAATAATTCTATAGTGATGCACGTGACTAGTTACAGCGAAATATGCCTGGTAATAAATTATGCAATGTGTTGTTTGTGTTCACATTATTTACATTCGCACCGGGAAAATAATATTTTGTAGAAATTATTAAACGCATTCGCTAACCAATAAGCCACAGAGCCGCAGCTTTCTTGCTGATAGCTTCAAAAATAACTGAAAGAATAATTATTATACAACTTACTATGAGATGCACAGAAGAGATAACAGCAGCCAACTGTGAGCATGGTTATTATACAACCTACTATGAGATGTACAGAAGAGATACAGAAGTCAACCGTGAGCATTGTTATTATACAACCTACTATGAGATGTACAGAAGAAGAGATACAACATCCAACTGTGAGCATGGTTATTATACAACTTACTATGAGATGTACAGAAGAAGAGATACAGCAGTCAACTTTGAGCATGGTTATTATACAACCTACTATGAGATGTACAGAAGAGATACAGAAGTCAACTGTGAGCATGGTTATTATACAACCTACTATGAGATGTACAGAAGAGATACAGAAGTCAACTGTGAGCATGGTTATTATACAACCTACTATGAGATGTACAGAAGAGATACAGAAGTCAACTGTGAGCATGGTTATTATACAACCTACTATGAGATGTACAGAAGCAAAGATACAACATCCAACTGTGAGCATGGTTATTATACAACTTACTATGAGATGTACAGAAGAAGAGATACAGCAGTCAACTTTGAGCATGGTTATTATACAACCTACTATGAGATGTACAGAAGAAGAGATACAACATCCAACTGTGAGCATGGTTATTATACAACTTACTATGAGATATACAGAAGAAGAGATACAGCAGTCAACAGTGAACATGGTTATTATACAACTTACTATGAGATGTACAGAAGAGATACAGCAGTCGACAGTGAACATGGTTATTATACAACTTACTATGAGATGTACAGAAGAGATACAGCAGTCAACTGTGAGCATGGTTATTATACAACTTACTATGAGATATACAGAAGAAGAGATACAGCAATCAACTGTGAACATGGTTATTATACAACTTACTATGAGATGTAAAGAAGAAGAGATACAACATCCAACTGTGAGCATGGTTATTACACAACTTACTATGAGATGTACAGAAGAAGAGATAGAGCAGCCAACTGTAAGAATGATTATTATACAACTTACCCTGGGATGTGCAGAACGGATACAGCACTGGTCGACTTCGAACTAAGTAAAAAAAAGTAACGATCCCTTTTCACGCCTTTAGGCGTATCGGGCATATGGGAAGAGCACCTATATTTTTACAGACCAATCGGCACTAGGTGGCTAATTGGTCAGCACGACGCCGGCCATTTTTACTTCCCCAGGACAGCCATCCTGGTACCCATTTTAAATTGGGTCGACCTACGACGTCCCGTGCCATGATTAAAATCCACGCAGTCAGCAGTGGGTTTCGATCATGGTACGTTGGAATTACGAGTCAGACTCGCAACGCCTGAGTCACAGACGCCGCCGACTTCGAATTAGGGGAGAAAAATTTGTGATAAAAGAGGTCTCTTCTTGTTAGTGTTCATGGGCTGTAAGGCATTAGTTTGCAGGACGTTGCAGAACCAACCTAACAGCCCCTGGCTGTTGTGACAGCCCCTGGCTGTTGTGTGGTTTTTCTAGGCAAATTAAACGTCAAGTAGTTCAAGGGCCGTAAACTGTGGCAAAATGTTCTTGGCGTGCGTCCGCTTATGAACTTTGGTGTTGTTCGTGTCGGGTCCCGAATCCCACTGTTTGGCGAAACGGTGGGGAGGTTGAAGACCAACTGCTCTCTAAGAAGCATGTCGTAAGGGTAAACAAATTAAGGGTGTTTCATTCTCTCAGAATGCAGCTTCCTGATAGGCGGGGAACCGATAGTCTACAAATAAGCCAGATTTGTAAAACAGATATGCACGCTAAACTCATGTTTTGGAACAAGACTTAAGTCCGGAGGTGGAAGAACAGCCAACATTTTCCGCTGGAGTTTACAGCCAGTGAAATCAAGGAGACAGATGAAGAAGAAGAAGAAGAAGAAGAAGAAGAAGAAAGAAGAAGAAGAAGAAGATTTGAATTTTGTTCAAGAAACTGAGTTTTACGTGCACATCTGTTATATAGATTTGGCTATTTTGTATACAGATTGTTGGTTTATTGTCTCTTAGACACTACGTTTTCCAAGGAAACACACCTAATTAGCCGACGTGTACGACATACTTGACGAGCATTGGGAAGGGAGGGGGGGGCAGTTAATATGGTGGGCTGAAAGGCGCAAAATGACAAGAAAAATAAACAGTAAAATAATTCCTTTTTTCTGTTGCAATGAACTTTAGTGTTAGCGGCCATTACAACCATCACGCGCATGCAACGACAGCGTTAATTACATCCATGCGGACTGACAGTATCCGGGACTGCCCATATAGCAATCATCCATGCGGACTGACAGTATCTAGGGCTGCCCATGTAGCAATCATCCATTCGGACTGACAGTATCTGGGGCTGCCCACATATCAATCATTCATGCGGACTGACAGTATCCAGGACTGCCCATATGGCAATCATCCATGCGGACTGAAGGTATCCAGGGCTGCTCATATAGCAATCATCCATGCAGACTGACAGTATCCAGGACTGCCCATACAGCAATCATACATGCGGACTGACAGTATCCAGGGCTGCTCATATAGCAATCATCCATGCGGACTGACAGAATCCAGGACTGCCAATATAGCAATCATCCATGCGGACTGAAAGTATCCAGGGCTGCCCATATTTCAATCATCCATGCGGACTGACAGTATCCAGGGCTACCCATATAGCAATCATCCATGCGGACTGACAATATCCAGGGCTGCCCATATAGCAATCATCCATACGGACTGACAGTATCCAGAGATGCCCATATAGCGATCATCCATGTGGACTGACAGTATCCAGGGCTACCCATATAGCAATCATCCATGCGGACTGACATCAACAGACCGCAAACTGCTCCTGCCAATGCCGCTTAACGGCAAAAGTGATTGATGATGATGATAAATATAAAAATCAAACCATGGAGATTGTAGAAGCGTAATTAGAATAAATCAGGGAACATCCAAACCATTTAAAGTAACGTCTGGAGTAAGACATGGATGTGTCTTATCACTGCTCCTGTTTATCACCTACATTGACAGTATAAGCAACGATGCCAGGCACAGGAACGAAAATAATAGTAACATCAACGAATTACTCTTTGCTGATGACCAGGCTTTGATTGCAGTTACAGCAATGAATTTACAACATCTTACATCCAGGAATGAAGAATGTAAATCAAATAATACGAAAATCGACATCGAAAAGACAGAAAATAATTCCAATAGGAAGAAAGAAGCAGAATTTAAATATAGCATTAGAGCATACATACAACAGACAACTTAAATATCTTGGAACAACGTTAACTAAAGATGGTAAATTGGACAAAGAAATTAACATCCGATGCAGTAAAGCAGGCCAAGTATTGGGACAGCTATCTCACCCCTTACAGCATAAGGCAATCATAGTCAACCCAAAGAAACATCTCATATAAAGCATATTCACTCCCATCCTATGCTGTCAGTGCCAGACATGGTCACTCACAACAAAACATAAACGAAAATTAGTAACCATGTTTGAGAAAGACTGTAGGAGTGACCAGAAGAGATACAATCAGGAATTAGGCCATACGAGATAAAGTCAGCACAGAACCAATTCTAAATGCATACGAATCAAATGGTGTGCTCACTTGGAGAGAATGCCTTCTACCATACGAGGCAAATACGAAAAGAAAAGAAGGACGTAGAGCAAGAGGTAGACCAAGAACAAGATGGGAAGAAAGATAACATCAGAGAAACTCTACAGCACTATGATGTGTCTATGGTCGAAGCAGCCAAAAGAAAACGCGAAGCACCCGAAGCTGTAAAAGAGGATGTAAAGAAAAATAAGAAACCCCGATCCTTGGACTGGAAATCCTGTTGTGAAAGTCACGTGATTTTTGATACATTTCACGTGACCGTCCCCCTCGGGTAGAGCAGACGAGATGGAAGCAAGGTAGAAGTTTCGTCTGTGGCTCCATGAATTTACACCTGGACACTTGAATTAAATGGGAATAACAAACCTAAGTATGGCAGGAATGAACGAAAATACCCCACTTCTACGCCCTAGTAGGAATTCCAGTGCTAGTAAATTCGTTTCTTATCGGAAGCAAAAATCGGGCGAACCAAATCAAACAAGCGCCTCGGTAAGTTTTTGTAATTATTAGTAGTACTAAGTACTACTAACTTTAGTTTAAGTCAACTTTTCTTTAGCATTTCTAACTTACTTATATTTACGCATTTTAATTATATACTTATTCTGGATTAAATCTTGTTCTTACGCACTTTAATTGATATTCCAGAATGAATAAAGAAAAGATAAATGCTAAACTAATTCGGATGGCATATATATGATATTGATAACGGTAGCACTCACCAGTGACCTATGCAAAAGTCACTAGTGACTGACCACTGCCGAAATCGCTAATGACCAGTGCCCTAAATGAGTGTTTTTGGTTTTTGTTTTGGGTAATATGACGAGTTACTAGTTTTTCTGAAGAAAATATCAGTGATATATATAGTATAAACCAAATGTCTCAAATGAAATAGAAGTCAACCTGTCACCTACTTTTGTGTGTGCTAAGATTTCTAGACATTTGGATAGACACTGTTGGGTTTGATTATGGTCAACAACAAGTGAACATTATCAGCAGCCAATGAGATAAATAATACAGTAACACTGAGAATTGTAAAGGGCAATCTATGCTTAGTTGAAAGGGGTGGCCGGCAGTGACTATTACACTAAACTAAACAGAGGTATTAGTATTACAACTAGTAAAAAGCTTCGGCACTCTTCCGAAAACCTGTCCCAAATTATTCACTGTTTAAAAAAATCCCATTCAGGACCTCAATAGGTCATATGGTTAAAAATCAGGAATAGGAACACTACGAACTATGCTTCATGTTGTTTTGTAATTTCTATTGAACCAAACTCTTGAGTCTTCGGTAGTAGAGTTGTAAGTATTCCGCCTGTTATTCCTCCCCACGATGCTTCAATGGATCGAAAACTATTCCTCCGCACAGCGCTTAGCTTAACATCTAAACATTGCTATCCATCGAGCAATAACGGCAGAAGTGGAAACTGATGATGATGGCCTAAATGTATTTACTACATAACCTCTTGAGGCTCTCAAAGGGATGTTTTTCGCAGTGAATAATTTGGGACTGGTATTCGAAAGAGTACCCAAGTTTCTCCTATTTTGGACGAGTGTTAACTGATAATGGCAGAAGTGTAGTAGAAATCAAAAAGAGAATAGAATTGGCATAAAATATCTTCTTTTCAACCAGTTTTTGACAGCTAGAGACAGTTTTTGACGGCTAGAGACAGTTTTTGACAGCTAGAGACAGTTTTTGACAGCTAAAGTTTTTGACAGCTAGAGACAGTTTTTGACAGCTAGAGACAGTTTTGACAGCTAGAGACAGTTTTTGACGACTAGAGACAGTTTTTGACAGCTAGAGACAGTTTTTGACAGCTAGAGACAGTTTTTGACAGCTAGAGACAGTTTTTGACAGCTAGAGACAACTCATACAAAATAAGAATTTTGTAAATGTTAGTATGCTCAACTCAGCTGTATGGTGCAGGAACCTTGGCAATGAAAAAACCAAGTTGTCTCTAGAGATGTTGATGTACAGAAGAATAGGTCATTATTCATGGAATTGAAAACAACAAAATACATTGGTTTTTTAGAGATTGGCAATGAAAACTTGCTGAAGAGACAGCTGAAATATCTCACCTCTTTAAAAGACACAATATTTAAAAAATCATACTGGAGGGAAAACATCAGAGGCAAGAGGTAGACAGTGAAACATGTGGGAGAATAACATCAAGGGATGAATGAACAGCAATGTGAGAGTGCAACTCTCTCAGACTGCAACTTCGAGACAAAAGACAGGGTGTGTTGGAGATCATTGCAGCCAACCTTGATTGTGGAGACTACCTGTTGTGATATTGCACTGTAATCATTCTTACTCCTAGCCCCATTGTTGTTGAGAAATAAGTTCCTGTAATTGACCTTGTGTCGTAGTCATCATAGTTAATTAGTGCCCTGGTTCACGCGCCACAGTGACACCTATAGGAGTTCTAGATTTCTAATTTTTAATGTATCCTGGCCAGTAAAGACCACAGAGAATTTGTGTTAGGCCTTTTTTTTTTTCCTGGCACAAACAGCGAATACTGGTAACGTTATAATTCTTTTGACCATCTTGACATTCTTATATAATTCTTCTTCCATGTTCATCCTGGGTGGTTGACACGTTGTGTTGTGATTTACAGCTAGGTTGCACTATCTTTGCCTTTTGGTCCAGTACATCCGACTTGAGCAAACTCGTAATTAGTCTCTCTTTACAATGTGTGTGTTAGGGGGTCCATCCCCCCACCCCTCCTCCAGTTGGATCCTGGAACCCACATGGGGACAATAATCTTAGCAAGCTGAATAAATCCAGATTCATACTTGTTAGAGATTATAAAGAAGAATTGATGTTATATCAATAGGAGCGGGCTAAAAAGTGCTCAGTCACTTCTAGAAGATCTGCTCAATCACTCCTAGTAGATCCATGTATAGGTCTGGGGGTCCCATTGTGTGGTGGGGGCGGGGCATAGACTCTCGGCTCTCCTATGAAGCATGGCATAAAAGTCTACTAATTATGGGTTTTTCCTTCCAAGTCGGAGTGAATCTGCCTGAGAGGCAAGGAACCAACAGTCTTTATGCAAACAGGCCACATCTGTCAAATGGATGTGCATGCAAAACTCAAAGTTTTGGGACACGACTGAAGTCTGGAAGTGGACGAACCAGGGAACCTATCCTCCATAATTTCCCATGGAGTTCCAAGGCCCCATTGGGGAAAATGGGGGGGAGGGGGGGGGGGGGGCTACAACCAGCAATAAGTATGTCATAAAAAGCAATAGATTAGGAGTTTGCCTAAACTAGATGTGTTGAGTCCAAATAGACAGACACAGCCTAGCTGTAAACCATAACACAATGGGCCAACTGCACATGATAAGGTAGAAGAAGTAGATACGCCTCTGTGATTAATAGTTAGTCACACAAAATATCCTTCTCTGTCGCATTTTAAAACTAGTGAAAAGCTACTCCCAGCATGCAAAGTAAAAAGACCTAAGGCAGCTCTCAGATGTGACACTAACAGTCCCATGCCAGAATTTCAACTGACTGTTGGCATAAACAGCCAGTCTGGAAAGTCGGCGTTGCACTCACAAAAGTACTCACCATTTTGAATGTAATCGGTCATCCACTAATTTAGGGCAGTTAACAACATGACACAGGCACAACAGAAAATACCATTCAACATGAAATCTACAGCTCACAGTGTTGCATCAAGCACAGCTCAGTAGTTAGGCGACTGAACCTTTGTACTCCCAGTCCAGAAATGGGGAATCTGCATCAGCAAATCCTAGCTGGAATCAAATGACTTTTCAAGCTGGCTGCTCTCGCCTGGCTATCAGCCATTGTTGGTTAAATTAACAAAGCCCTGTCACTGCTCAAGATTACACTCTAAATAGCTTCCTGCAATGGGTCAAGATACTGCAGCCAAATGATGACCGCTTGTACTTTATCTTCCACAGGTGAATGCTTCAGATCATGATGTTGATAACAATGATGTCATCTCTGATGAGGTCATCTCCAGCAGGACCCTAATGCGGTCAGATTCTGATGTTGAACAAAGCAGAAATCATGTCAAGATTGAACAGAATCATCTTCTCAAGGCTTCATTCGAGGTTGGTGCAGTTGTTCGTATTCAGCTGAGAACAGGAGGGCCAGAACCTAGGAGCTGCCTAGGCACATTGTTTCGTTAAAAAAAAAGGGTGGGGGGGGGGGGGGGGGGGGGGGGGGCTAGGTCCCCCCCACCCAAGCACCAGTAATATTTAGAGTGGCTTAGCCTCCTCTCCCCTACAACAAAACAATCTATTTGAAAAGTGGGCTAAGAAGTCCCTGTAACCATGTATTGATGGTCTCTTTTTAAAGTATTTGTTTATTCATTTCTTATGATTTCACATCCCCGTGTGGGTTCCAGGGCCCAGTTTGGCGCAAAAATAAAGTGGGGGGGGGGGGGGGACTGCAGAATAGACATACTGCCTCTCAATCAAGCATGTCCTAAAAGGTGAATAATTAGATTAGGAATTTTTTTTTCTCCACAAACAGCACATCTGCATGAGAGGTATGCAGTCTGCATACAAATAAGCAGATGTGCATGTAGACATGCAAAATTTAAGTTCTGGAACAAGATTAAAGTCCAGAATTAGACAAACAACCAGAATTGTCCACTAGGGTTTATGGCCGGTGAATGCTAAAAAGAAGAAAAAGAAGAAATTTAAAATATATTTGTTTGTCATTCAGCACATAATGGCAATAACGTCAGTAATTCTACAAGATTAAAATAAGGTTTAAGTCCTTCAGGACCTCAATAAAACTTTGAGGGAGCTGAAGTCCCCTCACCCTTACCCATCCTCAAACAATGTTTTCTTTGTGTCGGCACCCTCACTTTTAGTTGCCACTATATATGCAGTGATTTCCCCAAGTATAAGGTGATTCCGTGTATCAGATATACCTTGACTTTAGGAGCAGAAATTTAAAACAAAAAAATTACGTTATTCATCAAGTATCCTGATCTGCAATCGTGTGTATCAGTTAATGTAAACTTTTTAAAGGCAAAATCATGCCTTTAATATGATTACATAAAGTTATTGATCTCATGTTTTATTCATCATAGAATCCAGAAAACTCTCCCATTACTGTCAAAACTTTCATACATGTGATAGTTCTTTAGCTGTCCTCATCTGTGTCTGACGATGAATCACTGTCTTCATATATTGCCTTATCCTCATTTTCATCTGTGGCACTTGAAATACCAGCCTTCTTGATTGACTTGACAATGATCTCAATCTTCACATTAGCCCAGGATCTTTTCACCCAGGTACAAACTTCTCCTATAGTTGATTTCTTCACACTAACCTGGTGGTATCAAATTGTTCCTAGAAGGCTTCATCCATTGGTTCCATTCGTCTCTCATAGCAAATTTAAAGGGTTTGTTAATGCTGACATAAAGTGGTTGAATCTTAGTGGATACTGGATACAGAATTCCTCATGTAACAAATGTGAAACAATGAACACACAACTATTGCAGCAAAAAGCACTTTTAATTATATATTTTTTTCCCCATCTTATGTCACTTCTGGACCAGCATTCCCAAGTTAGGCCTCGTATGAGATATTTTCTATCAAATTATTTTGGCAAAAAATCTACTACTTACTATTGTATAAGATCCATTCTGTTTTTAGAACTTATATTTTTTTAAATAAGTGCATCATGTACTTTAGGAAATGCAGTAATTACTTCTGTTGCTGTTCTGTTTGTTTGTGGAATTTCAGTTTCATACTGACGAAGATGGTTTTAAAGATTTTTTAAAGTCAGTTTGTTATATGTGGTATGTTCAAATGTTTCAGAGTCTTGACTATGAGGTCTCAGATAATTTACTATACCAGAATGAGGAGAGAGAGAAAAGTTCAAAACAGAGGGTAAGTTTCATTAGGAAGATTGTTTCAACTAACACTTAGTCGATTGTTAATTAAGTGTTTCTTTTTTTACAAACTGCTAGCCTCATCCTGTCTAGTTAGCATGTTACAAAAATGCATAGGAGGTTAATTTACAACTGCTGAATTAATTTTATGGGATTCATTTCCTAGTGTCACTGCAACCTTGCAAACAATCACTAGATAATAAAATAATGAAATGAATCAGATTAGGATGTCTAGGCTCGTTATGACCTTCATCATCATCATCATCATGTAGCAGGTCCTTTGCAGAACGTGGCTCTCATCACGGTCTGCCTGAAAGAATATTGGTCTCCTACCAGACCTTCTGTCTTGTGCACTTTCATACCCAAGTGAGTAAAGGACCCTTTTCCCTGCCTTTACCTACGTAGGGCTAGAACTATATCTTATATATTAATTGGCACTAGATGGGTGATACGGTCAACATCACGCTGACCACCTTTACTTCCCAAGATTTTACCTTGTACCCATGTAAAGCTGAGTCAACCTGGAAGCCAAGGTCATCTTTAAAGAATAGTCCGGCGGTTCCGTCAGGACTCAAACCCATGACATTCCGATTAACAGATGAGTGTCTAACCACTACATCACGATGGAGTCATTTATATCCTGTGCCCATTTTTGTGCTGAACCGTCCTTCCTGGCATCAAACTTTCTGCTATTAAATTTTTTCCCAGTCCGTCATGGTGCTTGACATGGCCAAAATATTTCAGCTTCTGAGATGATGAACAAAAACTGAGAAACAAAGGACACGTATTTTTTGAAAGTTTCAGATACTAGATCTAGGCAGTAACTAAGAAGTTACAACAGTATCAACTTTATCTCCTTGTCTTCACTGGCTGTAAACTTCGGCGGAAGATTCTGTTCATCGACATATAGATTTTGGTCGTGTTCCAGAACTTGAGTTTTGCTTGCACATACGTTTTGCAGATGTTGTCACAGAAAACAAAGAAGTGTATATTTCCTAATATATTTTTACAAAAATTTTATATTTTTTTCTCTAAATCAGAAACTATACTGGAGAGGGGTTCGAAGGTGGATCATCTGTTTCATAATTGGTGTTCTGACAGGTCTCACAGCAGGTCTGATTGACTTTGCTGTGGAGAATATATCAGATGTCAAGTTTACAACAATCAAAAATTGTATCCTTATTTTGGCACTGCAATATTTTGTGATACAGTTCTTGGTCTGCCAGGTGTGTTTGCTGTTTTATAAGTGTTTCTTTTTCTTTCTTTCTTTCTTTCTTTCTTTCTTTCTTTCTTTCTTTCTTTCTTTCTTTCTTTCTTTCTTTCTTTCTTTCTTTCTTTCTTTCTTTCTTTCTTTCTTTCTTTCTTTCTTTCTTTCTTTCTTTCTTTCTTTCTTTCTTTCTTTCTTTCTTTCTTTCTTTTCTATAGTGTATGTGTCGGTGTGTGTTTGTCAGTGTGTGTCTCAGTGTGTTTGTGTGTGCCTCTTTGTTGTGTGTATGTGTCTGTGTGAGTAACTGTGTATATGTGTTTGCTTGTGTGTTTCTATATGTTTGTCTGAGTGTGTGTCTCTGATTGTGTTTGTCTGCGTGTGTGTTCGTCTGTGTGTATATCTGTATATGTTTGTCTGCATGTTTGTATGTTTGTGTTCGTCTGCATGTTTGTATGTTTTTGTGAATTTGTCTGTGTGTGTGTCTATGTGGCTGTATGTATGTGTCTATATATGGGTGTCTGCATGTTTGTCTACATGAATGAATGTGTCTACATATGTCTGTGTGCGTCAATGTATATGTCAGTGTGTGAACTTGTATGTATTTATGTCTGCTGTGTGTGTGGGTTTAGATGTATGTTTGTCTGCATGTGTGTATGTGTCTCTGTGTTTGTGTGTGAGTCTGCGTGTGTCTGTGGGCATTTCTGTGTGTGCATGTGTGTGTCTTCATGCATCCTGTGCGTATTTATGTATGAATGTATGTATGTATTATATCTGTATGTATGTATGTATGTATGTATGTATGTACGTATGTATAAACGTATGTGTAAGTGAGTGGGTGTGTGTATGCGGGCTCAGGTTTTTCATGCATTTTACAAACCATGCTTTTGTGTTCTTTTATGATATTCATAATATGCATATCATCATTTGATCATAACATGCTTTATTAGTAAAATACATCTGCTGTGAGAAAGATGTGTGATTAGAAGGGCCAAATGTAAGACAGGCCTGTGTGCACAATTTGTGACCCTTTAAAAATAAAGTGTGTTTATTCGTTTTCTTTCTTTCTTTCTTTCTTTCTTTCTTTCTTTCTTTCTTTCTTTCTTTCTTTCTTTCTTTCTTTCTTTCTTTCTTTCTTTTTTTCTTTCTTTCTGTTAGTTTTTGTTAATGGAATGTGCTAGTATTCAGGACAAAAGGAAGCATGTGGTCTTGTAAACTTGACATAATTAACAGGGTGTCTCATAAGTTTCCACACATAGGAAAAATAAACTTTCTTTTATGAAAAATGTTTTTATTTAAATAATATGCTCAACATGACTACCCTTGTTCTGTAAAACACATTTAAGTGCATGTCCTTCGCTGATAAATTACCCCTTATTAGCACAGAGGAAGTTATGCTTGTAAGGGCATTGGTGATACGTTAATTTCTTCTATGTATAGAAACTGATGAGACACCCTGTATTTTCTGCATAGTTAGATCTGATGTGTGAATGAATAAAGTCGTTGACCAAATATAAGCCATGTCTGAAACTTCTTCTTTCTTAATTGCGATCACTAGCTGTAAACTCTTTCAAAAAGTTCTGGTTGTCATCCACCTCTGGACTTTAGTCTTGTTTCAGAACTTGAGTGTTGCATGCATGTCCTTTTTACAAATACATATCTGGCTTATTTGTATGCAGACTGTTGGTCCCTTGCCTCTCTGACTTTGAAGCAAGCCCCCAATTAGTAGACTTTTATGACATGCTTGTTGGGGAGGCAGTGGGTCTAATCTTTTTTGGCCACTCATATTCCTGATATGACAAGATCTATGTCTTCCTTAACATATGGCCCAGTGGTGGACAAGTGTGTGACAGAGTACTGCTTGTGGGCACCACAGCTGGTTTGGTTTTGCTTCAACATGGGCCTGGTCTTGATTGGGTCAGCACTCACAGTTTATGTCGAGGTATGTGTTGCATTTTGTTTAGATATCATCAGTCATCTTCTTTTGTCTTCACATTCACCAGTTGTAAATTGTGGCAGAAAGTTCTGCTTGTTTGTCCACTTCTGGATTTTAGTCTTGTTCCAGACCTTGAGTTTTGCTTGCGCATCCATTTTACACATATTGATAATTTATGTGTAGACTGTTGGTTCCTCGCCTCTCAGGTAGGTGCAACCCAATGTCAAAGGAAACACCTGTAATTAGTGGACTTTTACGACGTGGGTGGTAGAGGAACAAAGGGTCCCCCCCCCCCCCTCCCCCACAATGTGGCACTATCAACCCTATTCACATTGGCTAGGCCCTCGTAGGGATTCTGTTTCTAAACGGATCAAGGAGAGGTGTCAATTGCTCTCGACCAGTTTCGTGCCCTCGTTCTAGTGAACCACTACATGTTGTTCAGAACCTCTCACAACACTCGGGACATTCCCATACATGCTCTGTTCTCATCTTTCATCGACAGGTGCAGAGTTCCAGTTCTAATGATACCATTCTGGTTGTATATCCATCTCACCTTTCCCCTGAGTGTTGATCATTGGCCCAATCCCCTAGTCACTCCTTGCAGCACCTTTCTGCTCAGACTGATGATCCATCAATGCCTCTGCACTGATCACTCACCCCCAAAGGGCCTTACAACATCCGTCTTGTCATGCATCAGTTCACCACTAAACTGTGAAGAACCAGCAAGTCTATCTGCCTGTTCATTTTGTAACTTATTTGTTAATCATTCAGGTGCTATCTCCACGGCAAAGTTTGTCTGCAGTGGATCTTCAGTACTGTTGGTAGTAGTCTCAGATTGTATTGGCATTGAGGATAAGTCAGTAAGTAAAGGACTTGTTTCCCACCAGCATTGGGTATATGATGCTCAATTGATATTTGTATGGACCAGGCGGCTGTGATGTAGTCATGGAAGTGATGGATAGATGGAATATCAGTGGTCGTAAATACCAGCATCTACATAGCATATATCAAAACTCTCACCTGATGCCTCTTCAAGGCCTGACACTGAAAGGCAGAGCAAGGCTAGAGAAGAAGAAGAACAAGAGGTGATAAAAGCCACACTCTGAAAGCACTTGCTACGTGGTAATGATGATAAGGATTCATTTTCTTAGCTAGTTAGCTAGTCGGCAGATCATCCTCATCTCACATCGAACCAGTCAGTTCATAGACTGTTTTGTATGATAGATGCTAGACAGAGAACAAGAAGAAAAAGATGAAAGTACTCTATGGTGGGAATATACACAAGAGGAGTCTACCGGTCATCAGTAGAGGTCCCCCTTCGAAAAGTGTGTTGGCCCCTTACCCCCACAAACACTTTAGGGGGGGGGGGGGGGGGGGTCAAAGTTCACATTCGATTGTATTAATTATCTCTCTATGCCTCATCAACAGAAAGCTGTATAATGTAATTCTGCCTCTGCTAAGTCAAAGACCCAATTGCAGACATAGTAACAGAGTTAGGGGTGATCAGCCCGGTCCTCAGTCGACCGGATGGTCAGTTTCACCCTGGCACTGCCGGGGCACCGGTCTATCCGCTGCGTCACCAGTCTCTCCTGGTTGTCTGTGGACCAGCCACCCACAATAAGAAAACTCCGCAGGGGAGCATACTCAGTAACCAATAAAGCCTAAGAGGCTAATAAAGTTTACAAAGTACTGAGGATAGACCTCACAATCACATAGTAAACATAGAGAATGGATAGCTGTCCAATATTTCCTGACATATAATCCCAGCCTAACTGGTTAAAGGAGATGGATTATGTGGCTGCAGACTTTAATTCCCTAATACTTAACCAGGCAGTAATATTTTAACTGTTTCATTAACTAGTTATGTTTACAGACAGAAACATTTAATGCTGCATTTACACTGGACTTAAGAGCTTAGAGATTAATATTAATGAATTATTGTAATCAAACAGAAAATAATTGTTTTAGTATTTAATCTTAGAGGGATACATAAAATCAAAGGACAATTTGTTGGTGGAGTTATTTCTGAGTGGCTTGACATGCCACTTACATTGTGTCTAGCTTCTTGTGATCAGCCATCACTGATTCATGTACAAGATGTTGACTCTTCAAGCCCACGCTTGTCAGTCATGCATCTACCTGGAACCTGGCAGGGATGAATAAAGTCAAATCATAAAGTTATGATGTAGATCTAATGGGCCACCATTTTGAAAATGGGGATCCTTACAGCCCCAGCATAGGAAGATCATTAATAAAATACAGCTGGCACTAATCCGCGGGCCACTTGTTATGCTTCCACTGACCGCCAGTTGAATAGCCCTGATGTAGATCAGTAATGACTGCCGCTGATGGCGTGCTGATCTAGGATAAACTAAATTACACTTCGCTCCCTATCTTGGCCGAAAAAAGAAAGTTTAGGTTTATAACGGACATTTCCTTTGGGCGAACTTTTCTTGAAGTGAATTGTTCTGTTTCGCAGTATTGGTACATTATTTAAGAAACACCTAATAGCCTTACATAATTGCTATTGATAAGAAATTGTGTCAAATCGCTTCGTGACATCGAATGATGATTATCGATCAGGTCTCAGGGCTGTCCTGCTGTATTTGTGAACTCTTACAGACCAATCGAAGCCTGGTTATTAGTTACTGACACCTGCTTATTGATGATCGCCTCTAGTCTGTGCTGACCAGCTACTCTGCGCTACAAAAGGTTGCCTCAACCCTGTTGGACTGAAGTGAGCTAGCTTCTCACATTGCCTGGCCAATTGGTCGCAACCCATTAATGGCTTGCTATGACTATGGACACAATACATATACCAGGCATTTGTGAAGTGATAGATACTAAAAATTGAATTAATTATCTATTTCTATAATTTGTCACACAGCCAGTGGCGGCCGGCAGTGGTATTCCACAAATCAAGTGTTATCTTAATGGTGTCATTGTGCCCCATGTTATTCGCATCAAAACTCTGATCACCAAGGTCGTTGGAGTGGCCTGTGCAGTGGGTGGAGGATTGGCTGTGGGTAAAGTAAGTATTGTTGGAGTAGTATGTGCTGTGGGTAAAGTAAGTATTGTTGGAGTATGTGCTATGGGTAAAGTAAGTATCGTTGGAGTAGTATGTGCTGTGGGTAAAGTAAGTATCGTTGGAGTAGTATGTGCTGTGGGTAAAGTAAGTATCATTGGAGTAGTATGTGCTGTGGGTAAATTAACTATCGTTGGATTAGTACGTGCTGTGAGTAAAGTAAGTATTGTTGGAGTAGTATGTGCTGTGGGTAAAGTAAGTATCATTGGAGTAATATGTGCTGTGGGTAAAGTAAGAATCGTTGGAGTAGTATGTGCTGTGGGTAAAATAAGAATTGTTGGAGTAGTATGTGCTGTGGGTAAAGTAAGTATCGTTGGAGTAATGTGTGCTTTGGGTAAAGTAAGTATCGTTGGAGTAGTATGTGCTGTGGGTAAAGTAAGTATCGTTGGAGTAGTATGTGCTGTGGGTAAAGTAAGTATCGTTGGAGTAGTATGTGCTGTGGGTGGAGGATTGGCTGTGGGTAAAGTAAGTAACATTGGAGTATTCTTCTTCTTCTTCGCATTCACTAGCTTTAAACTCTGTGGGGAAAGTTCTGTTTGTTCGCCCACTTCTGGACTCTAGTCCTGTTCCAGAAACTAAGTGTTGTGTGCACATCCATTTCACAGGTCTGACTCATTTGCATGCAGACTGTTAGTTCCTTGCCTGTCGGGCAGATGTAATCTGACTTTGAAGGAAGCTCCCATTAGAATAGAATGGCTGTGGGGAATTAATTATCATAGGAATAGTATTACTGTGGGTGGAGTATATACAATTGGAATAGTGTTGCTGTGGGTGTAATAAGTATGATTGGAATAGTATTTCTGTGGATGGAAGGAGTATCACTGGAGTATTGTTCTTGTGGGTGGAATAAGTATCATTAGGATAATATTGCTGCGGGTGGAATAAGTATCACTGGAATATTGTGTGCTGTGACTACAATATCATTTGAGTAGTATGTGCTGTGGTTGAAGAAAGTATTATTGGAGAAGTATGTTCTGTGGGTAAAGTGTATCATTGGTGTAAAATGTGCTGTGGGTGGGGTTTGGTTGTGGATAAAGTATCATTGGAGTAGTATCTACTGGAAGAGGTAGGTATCCACAGTGGTGGGTGATTGGCTGTGGGTAAAATAAGTAGGGCTGTACCGAATATTCGCTTCGGGGCCGAATAGTGGACCAAATAACTATTCGGTATTCGGCCAAATAGTTGCGGTTGAGCCGAATACGAATAGTGGTTACCCTACACTTGTTTCTGCATACACTGCGATAAACTGAAATAACTCTCTCATTAACACAAAAGTTGCTGTTGCCTAAGTGTCGTAATAGGGGAAACTGCGACCCGGTTGCGTGGTACAGCACCTGGCAAAGTCTTTGCCTGCTGACTTGACCGAGGCATTACAGCAGAGGTTCTCAAACTGGGTGCGTATGCCAGGGGTGCCGCGGCAAAAATCAAGAAAAGTCGGCTATAAATTGTGACATTATTAAAGAAGGCGTGAAGATACTTAAGAGGTAAAATTTAAATTGTCTTTCCTCGCCACTGTCGAAAAGAGGACAGGCGGCAGGCAATAACTGCATTTTATAAAATGAAGAACATCTTGTGCAATATATCCTTGTCATTGAGAGTTGGAAAAATAATTCTTGCTTGCTACATACTCCAGTTATAACATATGGCTGTGAGTCCTGGACAGTCGGTAGACAGGCCAATTTCTTGAGGCCTCAGAGATGTGGTTTTACAGAACAATGCTTAAAATACCTTGGACAGCCCCCCTCCCTCCCCCCCCCCAAAAAAAAAGCAACCAAAAGGTTTTGAAAGAGACAGGAGCTCAAAGACATCATAGACATCAGAAGGAGACAGTCATCATTTTTCGGCCATATTATGAGAAGAGGGAAAATAGAACATGTGGTGACCACTGGAAAGATCTGTGGAAGGAGGGATAAAGAAAAACAAAGAGAGAAGATTCTTGACAGTCTTGTTGCATGGCATGGAGGTGTGTCAGCACACAAACTAATACATGCTGCAGGAGATCGCAGATTGTGGCGAGGGGTAATCGCCCACATCAGTCGGCAAGGCACCTGATGATGATGATACACTATTCGTATTCAGCCGAATAGTTGGTCCCACTATTCGTATTCGGCAAAATAGTGAAAATCACTATTCGGTACAGCCCTAAAAATAAGTATCACTCAGTTATTTTTTAGTTATGTTTTGAGGGATGAATGAGCAAGTTTCTAAATTCTGTTCTACAGGAAGGTCCTATGATTCACTCTGGTGCCGTTATTGCTGCTGGGGTATCTCAGGGCAGATCCACAACATTGGGCATTGACTTTCAGGTGAGTTTGAAGTGAAATTGTATGACTTAGGGGTTGGTAAATGTTTTTCACTACTCTTGACAGGCCAGGGTTAAATTTCTGCAGTGAGATGTTCAAGAAAAGACATTTTTAGGGTATTATCGGACAGTGTTACGAGAGTTGGTCACAGAAGAGGTTGTGGCCTCACCACATAATTGTCCCAGAATTGGAAGCACATATACAGTGCAGCCAGTCTACTTCTTAGAGACAGCACAGAAAAAGATTGAGGTTATGCAGTTTTTTACCCTTACAGCTTGGGAGTGCACTCTGGATTCCATTAAAAGACAAAAGGTGAAATGGTTTTGCCATATGACATAGGTATCAACAAATGGTATACCGCAGCAAGCAGTTATGTGCACACCGGGCGGGAGGCGAAGGAGAAGTCGACCATAAAAACGATGGATTGAGGGAATAACAGTTCCATTTACGAAGCACACAAACGGGCACTTTCCCATAAATTATACTTTATCTTGACACCGCAAGGTAAAAGAAGATCAAAATGAGATAAGATGATGATTCATCTCGGCTCAACCAGATCATATAAATATGGATACCAAGCAATGTTAGGTATTTGCTGGAAATTGTCCAGCAGTAAGAAAACTAGCTACTATACTTCATCCTTTTTCTTGTTGTTCATGAAAGTGACATAATTGAGTTGTGACTATTTACAGCATTGCTGTCATATTTGCACCTTTTGGCTAGTGCATAAGACTTCATTGAGCATTTGTTGACCAGGTTAACTTTCTGGCCACTTCTTTCTCATTCATTCGTAACTTGTAGTATTCAAGTTTTATCACTTCACTGACCAATGACAGTTCTTCGAATGGGACAACTTGTAATATCAAAACTATTATAATTTTGGCATCAAAATTCAGTAAACTCAAGTAAATAAATAAAATTATAAAATCTATCAGAAATGCATTGAGAACAATTGAAATAGATGTATACAGATTTCTGTTTTTGTTTTCTTAATGAAATTATTACATGAGAGTAAAAAAAAAAAAAAAGAAGTAAAGATCCCTTTTCACGCCTTAGGCGCAAAGGGTATATGGGAAAAGCGTCCCATATTTTTACAGACCTGTGACGCCCCATACCACGATAATAATCCATGCAGCCAGCAGTGGGTTTATTACATGAAGGCAAAGAATATGCATATGTTATGACACAAAGAAAAAAACTGACATTTATTCCAACAACTGTCAAATCACCATCATCATGTGCCATGCTAGTAAGCATAGCCTGGGATGTTTCGTCATCTCACGTGTTCACCAGAATCACAGATTAGGTACATGTCTGGCCAAGCAATCCAGGTACCTATCTCTTTACATTCCTCTTGTCTTCTATGCATTAATCCTGCCAGTTGTTGCCAAGCCCATTCCTTTTTATAATATTTACAAGAACAAAAAACTGTCTATGTCTGATTGTTCCAATCATTTTAGGACTCATCTGTCTCCATGAAGACTGCTGCATTTGTTTTGTTCTACCACTCCATGATATTCTTTGCATTCTTCTCAAAAACCACATCTCTGCCATGAGTAAGTGGTGTTCAGATTGTCTGCTTACTATACATATCTCACATGCATGTAACAAAACAGGTTCCGCTTAAGAAAAGATATAAAACAGAACGTAAAGTCAATCAGCAAGCTTCACAATATCAGGTTCTGCTTAGCACTTTAACACTCTTTTAAGTAGATGAACAGAAAGAGATATTTCATTGTTTCTGAAACATCAGTGTCAAAATGTAGAGGAGCTGTTTGCCTGTTTGCCACAAGGCCTTTTTTTGAATTTACATTGTGGTAAATTGTTTTTAAATCTACCTGGACTCCTAGGTTAATGCAGCCTAAATGGATACCAGGAAGTTTTCTTTGAAGTAAGGACAGCTGGTGTAATGTTGACCACATTATCCAACAAGTACTATAGTCTATAAAATGCTGGGTCTAGCACCATATATCTACCTATAAATAAACAGAGGGGGAACCTTTGAGGCCGTTAAATATTATGAATTAATCAAGTAACAGAAAGTGTATTGATCGGCACTCATAGAAAGAAGTAGAAAGATAGAAGAACACACTAGACTACATAAAAATCAAAATCTATAGTTACCGTGCCGGGAATTGAACCTGTCACCTCCAGACGGTGTGTGCGATTCGCCATGAATACAAGTGCACTAAGAACATGGTCAACTAGGCACCCCTAAAAAAGGTGTCTTGTTGGCCATGTATTTCGTACAGTTTGAAATCCACAACTATGGAATACGGACAGAATTCATTTCAAACCATTGAAATGGCACCATAGGTTACAGAAATGTATATTAACGAAGCATATGTCGAATAACAATCATAGCAACAATTTACGAACACAGTAGACCTTAATGCTTTGTCTACTTCCTTACTATGAGTGCCAATCAATACACTTTCTGTTACTTGATTAATTCATAATATATCTACCTATATGCCAGTCCTGGCCTATGAGTGTGAGTCATGGATAATGACAGCAGCTCACAGAAGCCAGCTTCAAACCTCAGAAAGGAGGTATCTGAGAAGTGTGGTCCAAGTGACAAGAAGGGACAAAGTTCTCAACCAGGAATACATCCGGATTTTGAAACCCAGATCCTACAAACTCGAGTGGATCAGTCACAGTTATGATTGTTTAGACATGTATGCAGAATGGGAGAGAGCCACCATGGCAGGCATGAGAGGCCAAGAACCAGGGAACCAGACCACCGGGGTGACCCAGGGTTTGCTAGGAAGATATCTGAAAGTCCCCGACTGACAGTTGACTGGAATGGAACAAAGCCAAAAAAAGAAAACCGCAGATAGAGAAGTCTGACTATCTCTGACAAACTTCTACACCCCAAGGTAGAAAAGGAGCAACTAAGTCAGTCTAGCACCATATAGCCGATTTACCAGTGGTCTTTAAAAACAAAAGAAACTTTGCACGATGCATCCACTCCTCTATTATTTGATTTATTATGGCATGCATTTTTATGGCTTTTCCTCATTATGAAATTGCAATACTTTTACATTTCAGATATTTCATGAATTTCGGAGCGATACAGAAAAGCGGGATTTTGTGTCTGCTGGGGCGGCTGCAGGTGTGGCCGCTGCTTTTGGTGCTCCTGTAGGTGGCGTTCTGTTCAGTTTAGAAGAAGGTGCTTCCTTTTGGAATCAGTCTCTTGTGTGGAGAATCGTAAGTTTTTATGTGTAGGCATAGCAAGATTGTTGTTTGTGAGAACCATTAGCAGCTCTTTTTTTAGGGGGATGGGGGTCATCATTCTGATATGTCAGGAGCCATGGGGGTGTAGTGACTGGACCTGCACATCCAGAAGTCATGAGTTCATATCTCAATGGACTTTTTCCCCCTAAATAAAACAAACAAACCTTTGCTTCCAGGTTGACCCAGCCTTAACCCTCTTAGCACGGACGGCCCGATTATCGGCAGTCTGGCCAAAAACACGGAATGGCCGATCGTGTTTCGCCTTGACACCATAAGAAATCTTCTGTTTTGAAACACTGAAAGTGATTATTTTATATTTACTGCTGTATTAGCTTTACACATGGCGACTTTCGAGTTTTTGGTATCGAAGTGAAAATTGTAGTTGGAATTTTTTAGATTGTGACCTGAACCGCTTGACTCCTATGTTTCTGCCCCTGAACTTGATGTTGATGAAACATTTGAATCAAGTGATGACACTAATTCTATTGATACTGATGCAGGAACTAGTGTTAGTGATAGTGGGAAGTCAGATGGGTTGCTGATCAGACCACAGCCCAACCATGGCTCAGGGTATATCCACCTGAAGATGTTGACACTCTGGCACATCCATTTCTTGAGCTGACTGGTCCAAAACACATGCCACCTAAAGATGTTATTGCTGTTTCATATATATATACCTGTTTTTGACTGTTGAATTACTTACAACATTTGTAACAGAAACCAACAGATATGCAGCTCAGTTTATTGCAAAAAGTGCAAATATCCTGAAGCGTAGATCTATTGTTCAGAACTGGAAGCCAACCACGATTTCCGAAATGAAGGCAATTATTGCAATTATTTTGAACATGGGGCGTAGTAGAAACATGTGTTCCTCTTGTGAAAAGGGTATTCACCACTATTGTTTTGAAAAACATAAATGTAAAAAGGCCAAAAATCAATAAAAATATTTCAAAGAAAATATATTTTTGTTTTAAGTTATGTGTTTCATGCATTGAATTTGAAAATTCATATTCTATTTTTAGATATGCAAATGAGATAATTTGCATATACATCAGTTTATTTTAACGATATTGTGAAAATCGTAAACTTCAATCCGTATCCTTCAAATAAATCTATTATTTCTAGGGGTCAGAATAACAGAAATGTGTCCAAAAAAAAATAAAATAAAGTAATTACCAAATTTACTGAAAAAAATGCTCTGTGTTTTTGGCCAGACATCCCAAAAACTTCCCGTGCTAAAAGAGTTAAATCGGATGCCAAGTAAAGTCCTAGAAAGGAAAGATATTAACACCACCCAATGAATACCAATTGGTCTATGAAAAATAGGTGTAGCTCTATATACCCAACACATCTGAAGTCATGTAAAAGGGTCCTTTTCTTTGATGTATCTTCACCTTGATGCAGGGCAGCTTGTGAGTTCCAACAACAACAAGACCTATGCTGACAGTACCTTAGCTATTGGTAGTGTCTCCCATATCAGAGAAGTCAGAAGATAGGATCAGGCAATGAGACACACAACCCTACTTCCTTGCATGTAGACTGGGTACAATCAGAGGCTGCTGGGGAAAGCAAACCCTGGGAAAATCTTTTCGAAATATCATTTATCATATACCGTATTATATTACATAAGAAATCAACACATGTTTTTCAGGGGAAGCCCCCTTTATTTGTTATATAAGTATCAGGGACTGCTTGACTAAGAGAATGTGTTAATTAACAACAGCCAGTTTATTTCTTCATTTGTAGATTTGTTCATGTTTGGTAGCATTTTGTAGATAAAGTGTTGTACAGAAAGATTTAGTCAGTCTCATGCCAAACCTCCTTAGTCACCTTTTATGACATGCATGGTAGGTTATACAGACATGCATAAACCAGTTGTGGGGTCAAGAAAGAAGATATGCCAGCCAGTGCCTACTGTTTATATTGAGCATGGAGACCCTAAAATGGCTGCTGTATCGGAGGACGCAGATTGAACTAGGATCTCGATACGGACAAGTGACATTGTAGCTTATGTTTTTAATGTGTTTTTGTGTGTGTTTCCCATAAGGATAACAAGTGGATGGATTAATATTTTAAAAAGCTGTCTTTTCCTTACCATTATGATTCAGTGGGTCCCAACATGACACAGGTGCCAGAGGATTGCTTACGGGTCTGAAGGTCGTGGGTTTAAAATCCACATTGAGATGGATTTTTTCTTAAGAAATTATTTTGGCTTTCAGGTCAACCCAGGTCAGTCCAGCCTTAAATGGGTACCAGGTAAAGTCCTGGGAAGTAAAGATGTTGACCACATTACCCACTGAGTGTTGATTGGTCTATAAAAGATGGGTCTAGCCCTATACACCCAAAATGCCTAATGGTGGGGGAAAAAAAGGGTCTTTTACTTTATTGTGATTCAGTGTGCACACAAATGTCATATATAAATGTTTCTGTACTTACAGTTCTTCGCTTCCATGGTGTCTACAATGACCCTGAATATCGTACAAAGTTTCATCAAAGGTCATCCTTGGGAACTTGCATATCCAGGTCTCATCAACTTTGGGACCTTTGGTGTAAGTCTGATTTATGTTGTGTATGTTGCATTCTTGTCTTTAGTGGTTATTGTTTGTGAGGGTATACGCTGTATGTATGGCTTTTTTTTCTCCAAGTTTTGTCCCGTATATGATTGGTGGAGGCACAGCAACATAGTAGTAAATACTCAATCTTGCTAAGACAGTGGTCTGGGGATCTCATTTTTTTGGGAGAAAATAGAATAGACCCACTGGATTTCAACTAACGTAAGCTGACTAATTAAGAATTTGCTAATATATACTGGTTCAAATGCAACTGATATCACAGCTTAGCTGTAAATCGCAACACAGTGTACCAGACACCCTTTTAAGATTGAGGAGAAAATCAGAAGCAAGATTATTGTCTTTAGCGGTTTGCAGCTCTGTTCTCCTCCCATCTTATTAAAATGTAAATCAGACGATTCACAATCGCTTTACTCTGACTTCATGCATGCAGGCAACATGATATCACTTTATTAATAAAGCCTGGGATATTTCTTCTTCTTCTTTTCATTAATCTGAGTGACGTAAATGCATTGTGCCTGTTTACAGCAGAGCTGTGATTTTTGCGCCTTTCGGCTGACATATCTGACTTCATCACGCATTTGCTGACTGACGTAACTTCCTGGATAGTTTCATGAGACGGATATGTGGAGTGGTGTTTTCTTTTTCCCCTTATCTGCCTGTTGCCCCTGGAGACCCTGCGGCAGTCAAAAAAGGCAGGAGCAGATCATAGGCATTCCCCGCCATCCAAGGAAGCTTCCATAAATGCAGAGCCAGCACACGATGCTCTGGTCCTGGACTTACTAAAGAAATCGCCACGTCCTGCACAAGACTGTTTAATCTCACATCCATATGTTGAGCTTTTCAGTCGTCACAGGCTGCTTCCTCCAGAGAGCACTGAATATTTAAAAATCCTTACTATGTTCTGCCATCATGCATGCCCACAAAATATGTTCGCACACTCGGTTTCTGTCATGTGAATATTATTGTAACTTTAATGTGAATTGTTTTCCCCAGGCTGTCAACTACAGGATCTATGAACTTCTAATTGTGGTGTGCATGGGAGCTTTCGGTAAGATCCTAGTTTTTGTCAGATTTATCCTTAATTATTTAGCAGTTTGATGTTCATGAATGTCTATGGTGGGGATAGCTCTTGCAAAACTATGTTTATGCAATGAAAACAGAAAAGCATGCTGTGTACAAAGAATATGATCACAAAGGACAGAACGGATGTGGAGGCACAGTTGCACTGCAAGGCTCCCCAGTGATGACACCTATTGCGACCTACATGCCCCTTATTACGTGAGTGTTTGGGCATGAGCACCATTTGGCACATACATCTTCCTTTTATCTTCAAATGAAGCATAGGCCCTTGGTCAATTCGCACTAAGCCGTTTGTATGCATGCCCATGATTGGTTGGATTTGCAGTCCTTTTTTGCATGTTCACCTGGTTGGTTGAGCCGTCCTGGGTGTTATATAACTTTCATTTGAAGGTTATATTGGGGTTATCTGTGGTCTGTCTTGCTTGTCTTCCATCCAGACTGAGATTATTAAATCTTAGGATGGTAGAAAGTTAACTTTTATGAAGCAGCTCAATGGTACAAACTTATTAATTGATTGGATTTTGCAGCTAAAGTTTTTAATGAGAAAATGTATTCGTTTCACACCCGTTCTGATTGGCAGGCTGCAGTGCTACTAGTCCTTGCTTCTCTTATTGGCCTGCAGTGTTACCAGTCTTTGCTTCTCTTATTGGCCTGCAGTGTTACCAGTCTTTGCTTCTCTTATTGGCCTGCAGTGTTACCAGTCTTTGCTTCTCTTATTGGCCTGCAGTGTTACCAGTCTTTGCTTCTCTTATTGGCTAGTCTTTGCTTCTCTTATTGGCTAGTCTTTGCTTCTCTTATTGGCTAGTCTTTGCTTCTCTTATTGGCTAGTCTTTGCTTCTCTTATTGGCCTATCACACACACATGTTTGTGTTGTTTTTTCTGTCTTTCCAGATAAGTGTTACAGTAGTAACTTTGAATTCAAACATAATCCATTCCGAGAGGGCATTCAGATTATTTGAGTTCCAAGGCAGTTTTTCCCCCATTGAAAATAAGGGAAACTATAATAATTGGTTCTATAGTCCAACAAACTTTAAATTATTTCCTATGTTTATGCTTATGTTTATTTGATGGATCAACATCATCGTATACGGATGTAATCCATAAGTTTTCAGTTCTACTTCTGACTCAAGCCTGAAAAATCTCAGAGTAGTGCAAAAACTCCATTGCACTAATGAGGATCCTGAAATACTTCGGGTAGATTTTTAACTTCAAATTGTGCCCAGGCAGCGCGGTTAGGCTACTCTTTTTGATTTCTAACTGCCAAGGGATTTATTATGTGCGCAAGAATGCACACGGGCGTCCGATCTCACTACCCAGAGACCAGGTAAAATTACTAGAAGTCCACGTGAAAAATCCCAGTCTTTATCGGGGCTTGAACCCGGGACCTTCAGCAATCGAGGTGGACATCATATCTCGAGACCAGTCAGCTCCCCTTATTTTCCTAAATGCGGTATACTTTAAATATAGTAACGTGATCATATTTGCACACAAACATAAATAAATTTATTCAGATATAAAAACATTGTGTTTACTGTACCTTGATAAAAATATTGACGTAGGACATAAAAGTAGGAGAAGGAAGGGAGATTGTTTTTTGGAAGGTGGGTCACCTTGTCTGAAAACATCAGGAATCCCTTCTGGTATTTCATATCATAATCATTCACCACTTGTAGAGGGTTTAGGTGTTGCTAGTTTTTTTTTTTTTTTTTTTTAAACAACCAGCATTCCAAAGTGCTTGGTGTTGGCAACTATTTTTTTAGTTTTTCTAAAATGTTCAATAATTTTATCATTGAATAAGTTAGTTGACTAGGACTCTTTCAACAGCTTCTTACATTTTGGACCAAATTGTCAAAATATCTTGGATTTCAGCGGTGCTAATTTTTCCAGCTTCCTCATGCCTTGAAAGTGTTAAATGTCTTTAGTGTTGTAAATCAATATTTGTTGTGTGGCTGTCCTCTTGCTCTTAAGGTGTAGTGCCTGTGATAGTATCTGATTCTGATGTTGCTGCATTCTAACAAGACGGCCAAACCACTTAATCTGCTGTTTCTTGATGAATCTTGTACACATCATCGTTCCCACAATTTTTGTGATAATATCATTATTCACTCATTCTAGGACGATTAGGTTTTGCATAATTCTACACACCGATTGATTATTTATGTTTTGTTTAACCCACAGGGGGATTGCTTGGTGCTTTGTTTAACCACATTAACTACAAGCTGACCATGTTTAGAATGAAGTAAGTATGGAAGCTGTTGTATGTACATATTGTTTCATCGATTCCTAAACCCCCCCCCCCTCCCCTCCCCCTCTCTGAGTGCTTAAAAAAAGAGATCATAATCCTGTAGGAATTTCCCAGAAAAAGTCTTAAAATAAAAAAATTATATCACAGAGATCACTAATAAACTTGGAAGCCACTGTGGTGTAGCAGCAAGACACTGGCCTGTGAATCACATACATAATGAACTCATATAATAATGTGTGTGCATATTTGATACATGTGTGAACCTCATATGGTTTTATATGTAAAAGGTGAAGGTGACAGATACTACGGTTGCTCTGTGAAACATATGGCCTTTACATATTCTAGGTTCGATGGAAATGAAAGAGCTGACAGGTTGGCTGGATCCGCTATCACTACCGACGGTCAGCCTATGGATCATGCTGATATTATCAATGCCCTCAGAGAAATGGGAAGGATAGAGGACTTTGGTGGCAGTGAATCTACATCACTCGCCAGAATGGCAGACTTGGGAATTAAGATCGGCACAGCAAAAAACGAGACGCACACCAGACACGCCAGAAGACTTGTTAATCAACATAGAACTGGTACTATTAGCCATCGGACGTTGGGGTTCATACTGAGGGAAGGATCTGAGCACCTATGGACATGTCCGAAGTGCAATGAGGATAACCCAACTAACTAACTAACTAATATTCTAGGTAATGGGGCAGTGAGCTAAGGTGACCACTTTACCTTTCTGCCTTTTCTTTTCAAACAATTGACAAAAATTAAGTTTTCTTTCAAATGTCTTGTACCAAAGATATTGGGCTGGGTCGACCGACCCCTAGAACTGGGTTCATCTTGGTAAAGATTCGACCTCACAGCATTCAGGACAAGCCCATATTAGTTCCATCTCTCCCCCCTCAACAGACAGCAAAGAGTTTCTATACTGTGGTCATCTGGTTAACTACTCATCTCTCTTCCTGAACATGCTTTGTGAATCCTACACTATGACAGCATGTGTGGCAGAGAGTTGTTTCCATCCATCTGTGGACCTAGAACTAAATAATTCTGCCAGTAATAGAGATTGTATCAGGACCCCCTGTCTTGGGTAGCTGGCACATAAACCACTGGATGTTTTTGGGGGTGCCCAGTGCATAACGTAGAGAACTGCTGTGGTGTAGCGGCAAGACTCTTACCTGCTGATCGGGAGGTGATGGGTTCAAGTCCTGATTTAAACAAAAAATGATTTGGCTACCAGATTGACACAGCCTCGAATGGGTACCAGGTAAAGTCCTGGGAAGTAAAGGTGGTCGCATGATGCTGACCACATCACCCACCAAATGTCGATTGGTCTGTAAAATAAAGACCTAGCCCTATTTGCCCAGTATGCCAGAAGGGGTGGAAAACAGTCCTTTACCTACTATAAGCACTTTCTTTCTCCAAATATGTACAAAGAGGTTGGCAGAAAGCACTGGGAATTATATTTTTTTACCCAGATGTGGAGAAAAAACACACCCTATTTTGAATGTTTATCCTTTTCCGGATGTATACAAAGAGGTTGGCAGAAAGTGCTCAAGTGTTGATTCTTTTCCCACTGTCACATATCACTCCTGTCGCGTGCCTAATGTAAGGATTTCTCCTTCAGAACCAGCAGCACTCAGAGATAATTTTGTTGAGTCGTTTGGCTCGTATTGGTCTAAGGGATTCCCCGTGGCCAATATACGATCAACTTATCTCTGGAGTAGGGCAACTCAAGTATTGGCACTACAAAATATGTCAATATATATATATATATATATTTCTAGGCACACTTGGCTGGACACCCCCACTACTTACTAAAGAAAGCCCCCAGGTTATGATAGTTCATTATCATAACCATGTTAACACATATAATGAAGATACATACACATACAACTGCTAAACACTTAAGAAGGTGACATAGAGAAACCTAAGTCAGCCATGAAAATGAATGCATGTATTTAGTATAATATCTGTACAAAAACAATTGAAGTGAATTCCAGCTATCAGTGAAAGAATTTCAGCACTAATGTCTAGATCCTAAGGAAACTAGGCAGACAGCCGGTCCTGGAGGTGACTATATGTCATCATGGGAACCAATGGAGCTGTGAGGAAACAAACAGCAAATGAGCATCAGACTTAGCTTCTGTCCTTTCTGCCTATGATGCCTCCTTCAGCTCCGGATGATTCGACTGTCTTTGACTCTGGGAATTCTGCTCCACTGGATCAAGTAGCAAGAGTACTTCACTATACAGCACTGTACCGGTATCTAGCAAGTCTTTATCACCAGTAAGGACACACAATGTCTTAGAGCCACATTAAGCTCTGGCACTGGTAGCTGTTTGAGGCACAATCTCCCCCATTTTTGGAGATGTCAGGAACCTTCACAGGTGTTAGCTGGTGGGTAACAAGTTGGTTCTGGTGGTTGGATTGGTGGGTGGATGTTGTTGAGACTGTGAATCTTCTGCCAGCTCTTCAGAAAATATACATCCTGTCAAGAAAATAACTCAACATTAGTCATCATCAAGAGGGTAACATCTTGACAGGAAAGACAGAGCAAGCATAGTCATCAACTCCCATCTGCTGACTCCTCCCTGCTCTCCTGTTTCATTCCTCAGATTGCCTCTCCAGACCAAAAGACATAAGTCTCCTATATTTATCTGTCTGTTTAGTGCAAGAGAAGGCAAGTCAGATATACAGTGGAGATAGATAAAGTGGTCTAACACATATATCATCTTCCCCTATCCCCCTCACTCTGCACACAAACACCAATATTTACTGTCAGTACCTGCATTCACTAGTTTTCCCAACCGCCCCAGCACTCATTGATCTGGGTCAAGCACACACATACTTTGATTAACACAGCCCTGACCCAATTCTGTCCCCATCTCGTATGTACAGATTCTGTAAGTAGTTTAAAACGTACACAATAGTAAGGGCATTAAATGTTTATCAGTATGGGTGGTTTATTGAGTGCATAAGCTATTTAGTCTGTACAGTGGAAGATCTACGTTCGAATCCGCTACTCTAGCGATCAAGAATGGTAGAACTAAGTGAGATCACACAGCCGATATGGATTTCTCTACAGCAGTGACTACTTTACAGACAACATTCTAGGTACTCGTAAACTATAATTAACTTACCCAAGCATATGTAAAACTGAGATCTTTCCAGATTGCCTTGAAAATTTAAAGTATACAGGCACAGATTAACACATCTGGAGGCTTGAGAAGCTGGCAAGGAGAACGGCGTCAGTTAGACATTTCAGGCGTTGGTACAAAAGAAGTTCCTTGTATACTGGGGCAAGGAGTAAATCGGTTTCCAAGAAACCTCAATTAACTCCCTAAATATATCCCCAAAAGAAATACATTTAAAAGTGGAGTTTAGTTAAAGTAACCAGAAAAGGCAGACATAATAATGTTGTCCAATACAGGCCTATATATATAGATATAAGGGACTATATATTTCTGGGCGAGTCCAAGTTTGAATTTTGTGCAGATTACAGGTAAGACAGGTTATCAGCCTTACAAACCGATGTGTAATGACTATCATTTCACGACACCCACATTTCTACAAAGATTGTGATTGGTGGAGTGTGCACAATGTGATCTTTTCTCAGATATGTACACCAGTTGCTGGCATAAATTGTATTAGGTGATTTCCCCCCCCCCCCCCCCCCCCACCCCTCCTCCATAATTGTGCAAAGTGGTTGACAGAAAGTATAAGGAATGTTATGTCCCCAGATATGTACAAAGGGGTTGACAGAAAGTGTAAGGAATGTTGATTATGTCTCCAGATATGTACAAAGAGGCTGGCAGAAAGTGCTGGAAGTGTTGATGGTTGCAACCTACACCCCGTGCTTTGCTTTCCTCCTCATCTTCTTCAGCAACGACTGCAGAGATTTGACAGACAACAAAGAGAATAAAGATAGTACAGACTCTGTTCTTGTGCAGGTGACCAATGTTTTTGTGTTTTATATCAGTGTAAACCTTAAGCTGAGTGTTGTTACCGACATTATAATCATCACTGTTAAAGATCATTGAACAGTTTTGGCATCACAGTGTTTGAGCTTCTTATTCTTTTTGTTCTCCGTTCAAGTGGGGGTTGCATAATGTAGTAGTTTTCAGGTTTCTGAGCTATCTGCCCTTTTGTCTGGCACCTGTGCCTTCAGCTTTTCTCTTAGGACTGAGATTTCTTAGTGCCCCTTTCTGTCTGGCACCTGTGATTTCAGTGTGCTTTTCTCTTAGGATTGAGATTTCTTAGTGCCCCTTTCTGTCTGGCACCTGTGACTTCAGCGTGCTTTTCTCTTAGGATTGAGATTTCTTAGTGCCCCTTTCTGTCTGGCACCTGTGACTTCAGCTTTTCTGTTAAGATTGAGATTTCTTAGTGCCCCTTTCTGTCTGGCACCTGTGACTTCAGCGTGCTTTTCTCTTAGGATTGAGATTTCTTAGTGCCCCTTTCTGTCTGGCACCTGTGACTTCAGCTTTTCTGTTAAGATTGAGATTTCTTAGTGCCCCTTTCTGTCTGGCACCTGTGACTTCAGCGTGCTTTTCTGTTAGGATTGATATTTCTTAGTGCCCCTTTCTGTCTGGCACCTGTGACTTCAGCTTTTCTGTTAAGATTGAGATTTCTTAGTGCCCCTTTCTGTCTGGCACCTGTGACTTCAGCGTGCTTTTCTGTTAGGATTGAGATTTCTTAGTGTCCCTTTCTGTCTGGCACCTGTGACTTCAGCTTTTCCCTTAGTATTGATATTTCTTAGTGCCCCTTTCTGTCTGGCACCAATGACCTCAGCTTTTCTGTTAGGATTGAGATTTCTTAGTGCTCCTTTCTGTCTGGCACCTGTGACTTCTGTGTGCTTTTCTGTTAGGATTGAGATTTCTTAGTGTCCCTTTTCTGTCTGGCACCTGTGACTTCAGCTTTTCCCTTAGTATTGATATTTCTTAGTGCCCCTTTCTGTCTAGTACCTATGACTTCAGCTTTTCTGTTAGGATTGAGATTTCTTAGTGCTCCTTTCTGTCTGGCACCTGTGACTTCAGCTTTTCTGTTAGGATTGATATTTCTTAGTGCCCTGCTCTGACAGGCGCCTGTGACTTCAGCTTTTCTGTTAGGATTGATATTTTTTAGTGCCCCTTTCTGTCTGGCACCTGTGACTTCAGCATGCTTTTCTGTTAGGATTTAGATTTCTTAGTAAAGCAGTCTTTCAAGCGGGAGTGGAGAAGGCAGAATGGAGATTACAGACCAGAGAGTGACAGCATAAACAAACTCAACAGGAAAGAACAAACATCAATTCTTAGACTTCGGACTGGACACTGTGGTCTTCGAGCACACTTGTACAGGATAGGCATAAAAGAATCTGCTGCCTGTGATTGTGGAGCAGAAAGACAAACCCCTGAACACATACTGCAGTACTGCCCTTACCTCTCCCAGCAAAGACTGTGGATCTGGCCCAAAGGAGCCACATTGCAAGAGAAGCTATGGGGGACCGGTGGCGACCTTAAACGCACAATCCTATTTGTGGCCCAGACGGGACTCAATGTTTAGCATGACTGATATCGAACGCAGAAGAAGAAGAAGATTTCTTAGTCCATGATCAGTCAAGACCTGCTTATTGGACATGGAAGTTTGAGATGAGAGTTCCTGTTCCTAGATGGATTGCTGTCCGCTGCTGATAACTTATGTGTACTCACCGTATGTCTTTATGACAGAAAGAGTATTTACAAAGATGAGGATGTCTACCCCACACTTCAGCCTCCAACCTGGAGGATAGCTCTTTGTCTGTTCTCTACTCTTTCATCTTTCTAACTTTTTAGGCCCTGCTAGTATTTATCCTCACCAGCATAACTGACAGGTTTATTGAAAAGTCGTTCCCCCCCCCCCCCCCCCTCCCATCCACCACAGCAAGTCTGAGACACTTTCAGAAGAGAGAGTGAGCTTCTGAAAGTGTGGCTACCATGAATTAAAGTATTCAGTGTTTATGGTATCTCTAAAAATGTATTCGCTAGCTTGACCATCTGTGGGTGGAGGGGAAAGGGGGGGGGCGCTAATGGTCCCAATGGTTTTTTTATAGCCAAGTTATCAAATTGTCTTTTAAGCCTCGGTTATTAAGCTCACCTGATACATGTTCCTTTTTTAGCGCAGGGCTAAGTACTTATGTAGTGCATCACTCTATTCCTGTTTGTTTATTACTATTTCTATTCTTTCATGTATTTAAAAAAAATAATATAAATATCAATACATTTTTTTTAAAATGTTTTAGTGACTCGGTTAAAGATTCTTTTCTGGGAATTTCTATGGACTCATTAACCATAATTTTTGTTTCAAGCATTCACTAGGCGAAAAAGTGAAAAGGATATGATGTGGGAACAAGAGGATTTTAAAGACATTGTACAGCCACACGGAACCACAATGGCCATGCCACCTGTTGAGTGCAGGATTGCAAACTGTTCCTCCCCACGATGCATTCCAGCTGAAATAAAGTTGATGATTATGATGAAAACAAAAAATATGTACACAGTTTAGATTGTGAAGTTATAACATGCAGATTCTTCATGTCGGTTCCCATTTAGAGGGAACCAGAATAGACCCATCAGTCTTTGACAAACACATCTTTGAAAGCAACTAATTAGGGGTTTGCCGAAATCGGATGTGGGCGGATTCAGATGGGGGCAGATATCACAGCCTAGCTGTAAACAACAACACAAAATGCCAACCACCCTTTGCATTGTTATTATTGGTATTAATTTTCTTTTCAGTTCTTCTGTGGGGATGGCAACTACAGCTCCTCTGCAAAACTGTTCTTTGACACACCCGAGGCAACAGTCAGACATCTGTTTCATAATGAGCCAGGTTCGAATCTTATCGTACCCTGTGTGGATTCTGGGGCCCCATTGGAGGGAAGGGAGGGGGCCCACTGCTGCCTAACAAACGTGTCATAAAAGTCGACTAATTAGGGGCGTTTTCTTTGAAGTTGGAGTGGTCTGTCTGAGAGGCAAGAAACTAACGGTCGGCATACAATTAGGCCAGATCTGTAAAACGTATGTGCATGCAAAACTCAAGTTCTAGAACAAGACTAAAGTCCAGAAGTGGAAAAATAACCGGAACTTTCTGCCAGAGTTTTACAGCTGGTGAATGCAAAGAAGAAGAAGAATCTTATTGTGATCCCTGGTCTTTGTAATAGCTTACCTTATTTGTCACTGAATATTATACATCTTCCTATTAATGGATTCCTTTTGTGTCTACAGATATTTTTACTGATATGTTTGTGTACGCAAGGAGTCATAGACCACGAGGCAGACCAAGAAGATGATAGAGAAAAAATGTACAAGCAAACCTACAAACACTCAGAGTCATGAACATGAGAGAGGACTAATCACAAAGATGAATGGAGGTTGATGAAATCTGCAGCAATGAACCCCATGCGCTCAGAATACTAAAGAAGAAGATAATTGTTGTAGATTGATTTACTTGCATTAGACTTTGCAAGGCAGATGATGTATCAATTTCAAATGAATTGCTGCTGTATGGGTTCAGCGTCTTTACTTTGAGGAAAATGGGGGGGGGGGGGGGGGGGGGGGGGGTGAAAAGACCCACCGCATTCCTTACAGGCATATCATAAAAGGATACTCATTAGAGATCTGCTAAAATCAGCTGTGAAAAGCCTAGATATCACAGCCTAGCTGTAAACCACAACATAACATGTCAGTTGCCCTTTGAATGGTAAACTCAGAAAAAGAATTAGAAGAAGAAGCGAATTTCTGTTTTATTGTAACATACTCAATGGGCCACGCATTTGCAGGAACCTACCAGATTGGCACATTATCCATATTTGCAAGTGGATACTTCCTGCTAGCCTGCTGGACGTATGGATTGTCTGTACCGAGTGGATTATTTATCCCTGGTCTCCTAGTGGGATCAGCCTGGGGGAGAATAGTCGGCATTTTGGTTTCTATGGCCTCGGGAAAAGCAGTAAGTATTTTGCTAACTCAATTTACTTTAGTGGGGAGCTGCCGTGGTGTAGTGGCTAGACACTAGCCTGTGGATTTAAAAGGTCATGGGTTGAGGTCCTGACTGAGCCAAATTTTTC